CGGTAAAGGTTTACTATCTGCTGCCCAGCGCAGACCTGTGCTATGGATTTTGAATTTCCCTCGCAAATTGCCGGCACTTATTGGTCAGCGCGGTCGGATAAGAAGTGCTTCTTAGCACGGTTAAATACAAATTGGTTAAAATAATTTTTTTGTATCACGACAAGTAGATTGTCATGAGGGACACAGACAAATATTTATTTTAGTACAGTGATCTAAAGTTAGAACTTCTTACATTGGGGGAATTGATCAAAACGTGGGCAGACAGCTTGTTCAGTTAAGCTTTGAAAATAAAAGATAGAAGCTGATTGGTTGCCATGCTCCAGATTCTGTCTCCTCCACTTTTGATAAATTCACCTCAATGCTTTTATTCCCATTTGCGCTTTCCTGCACCTGAACAACCAAAAGCCTATTACCTGTACTGGAGTCAGAGACAAAAAAACTTAGACATTTTTTTCTGCTATCCAAAACTTTAAAATAAACACGGGCCGTTGTTAGACAGTAGTTTTGTTCTGGGCTGTTGCTTAAACATTTTATGTAGTACCATGGATGGGTTCTCTCCTTTCATTTCAAATAACAGATTTGTGTTGAGGCAGAACATTTGGAATAACTTGTAAATTTCTATCCCTAGGCTGTGACATATTGGGCACGAGTGAAGCTTCAGAAGCCTCCACCATCCCATGGCCTGCAAATGTTAGATTTGTGTTTCATCAGATTCACATGTTGCTTAATCCTCACATCCATTCTCATGTGTATTGGACTGCAATGTGTGAGAACTGCAGCCAAGTCTTCATTTCCACCTGCCAGTAACCTTGAAATGAATCTGTGTATTGTGCCAGGAGGAACACAATCCCCCGGATACATTCCCACTACTGTCATTTGCCCAGTAGTTCATGTCATTTTACAGAGAGTGGTGGCTCTAAGCAGGAATATTGTAAATTGAATAATCTTTCCCACTGCCAGTCAGGTCATCCACTAGAACAACCGCAGGTGAGAATATAATGAAAAGATTAATTGGCTCGAATTAAAAAAAAAAAACAGAAAACAAAACAGCCATTTCTTTGAGGAGTAGAGAGCCCAGGGTTGGGCTTTAATGAGTCTAAAGGTGCCGTACACCTTACGATTATCGGACGATTTTTGTATGCGATCGACTTTTCGGCCGATAATCATATGTGTGCATTGCAGTGTCCGACCGACATTACCGTACAATCGTACGACTTTTGACGGTCAAGCATGTTTGAAAACTTTGGTAGA